AGAACCAGAAAACAAACCTTGAATACTTCTCATTTTTTTCTCTAATTCATAGTTACTCTTGAAGATAGTCACATGTGACTTTGGACATGCAAGGAGGAAGATAAACAGGTCACATTTTTGGCAAGAGCACTCAGTCCCAAGGAGCTCTGGGTCAGTGATGTGGTTTGAGTCTAAGAACTAGTTGAGATGCCTTGTAATATGCAAGATTTGTATTAGAACACTTGTGCTTATACGAATAAACTAAAATATGATAGGCTTCCCTATGAAGACACTGTGATCAACTGCCAAAATCAGAGACCTCTATTTGTCAAATTATTTTAATTCTTCCCTCAACTCTTATACCCATTATTGTAACCAAGCCCACCTGTCTCTGGCATGCTGGCCTTCTCTACCCTGGAATCCCATAATCACCTTGGAATCCAGGGACCCCAGTTCTATGGCAGCAGTTCCCATAGCCATTCTGGGCCTGCAGTGAATACCCACCAGAGAATTTGCAGCTGCCAGTGCTTCTTCCCTAATGCAATTCTTTTTTTTTTTTTTTTTTTGACAGGCAGAGTGGACAGTGAGAGAGAGAGACAGAGAGAAAGGTCTTCCTTTGCCGTTGGTTCACCCTCCAATGGCCGCCGCGGCTGGCGCGCTGCGGCCGGCGCACCGCACTGATCCGATGGCAGGAGCCAGGAGCCAGGTGCTTTTCCTGGTCTCCCATGGGGTGCAGGGCCCAAGCACCTGGGCCATCCTCCACTGCACTCCCTGGCCACAGCAGAGAGCTGGCCTGGAAGAGGGGCAACCGGGACAGAATCCGGCGCCCCGACCGGGACTAGAACTCGGTGTGCCGGCGCCACTAGGCGGAGGATTAGCCTAGTGAGCTGCGGCGCCGGCCCCCTAATGCAATTCTCACAGCTGTCCTTGTACCTCCTAGCACACACCTGTGGATGAGTAAGCCAATCTCATGTAATAAATTCATCTTTTGCTAGAGTATACAAGAGAAGATCTGGCATCTCAACCTCATAGACTATCGGCCACTGTTGGGTCCATATTTCAATCTAAGCAAGCAGTCAATTAGAGCCACTTCAGTCTGCTTGAGCTAACGGACTGACATTAGACTCTCTACTTGGTGCATTCCATCAACAAAGTCAGCCTGGCCAACATTATCTTCCCTCTACCTACCTCATCACCCTAAAGATCCATTCCCAACTGCATTGCTCTTGATATAACTTAGCAAACATCCATCATTTGAGTGTGTGTTGCAATTCTGTATGTGTCACATGTATGTATGTGTCACACTTACATCTGGGGTCTGCTGAAATTTGCACCTATAGATCTATAAGTGATAAAAGACAGCTGAGGGACAGGATTAGGACCTGTGGAGAGGCAACTACTTTAGGGATTCCTATCACAGGTTCTTCAGGCAAGGAGTACATAAGCTCTTCCGACAAGAGAATATGAACTGCTTTTACTGGCAAAGAAGGATTTGATGATCTTAGATCCCAGTTGCATCGGAATCTGCCCAAATAAATTTCCATCCCCACTTTCAGAGTCCTATTCTTTCCCAATCAATGCTTTGAATTCATGTAAGAGACCCTGCTAAGTGGAAAATTAAAAATGGATTGAAAGCCACCCTTAGGATGAGAGCTTCATTTGTTTGTCAGAAATCTCAGAACGGAACTTATAGGAATTTCTTTTATGGCAGTGATAGAAGATTCAAATCATAAATTTGGAATTGAATACTCCAAAGTTCTTCATTTTCTTTCCCTAAGTTTCTTAGTGTGCATAGAAGCTATCAACCAACCTGGTTATGCTACTTATTTCCACTAATATGTTCTATGGCAGCAAATATTCAAACACCCAAAGCCTGTATTTGATTACAGATTTATACAGTGATCATTTAAGCAACTGCTTAGCTTTTGCATACTGTAAATGATTATTTACAGTGTAAAACTGATACCCTTTACATTAAAAACAGAGCCACTGATGGTTTTAAATACATTCAGATTAGAAAACCAAGAGGGGGGGCCGGCACTGTGGCGCAGTGGGTTAAAGCCCTGGCCTGAAGCGCCGGCTTCCCATATGGGCACAGGTTCTAGTCCCAGCTGCTCCTCTTCCGATCCGGCTCTCTGCTATGGCCTGGGAAAGCAGTAGAGGATGGCCCAAGTCCTTGGGCCCCTGCACCCACGTGGGAGACCTGGAAGAAGTTTCTGGCTCCTGGCTTTGGATAGGCTCAGCTCCAGCCATTGCAGCCATCTGGGGAGTGAACCAGCGGATGGAAGACCACTCTCTCTGTCTCTACATCTCTCTGTAACTCTTTCAAATAAAAATAAATCTTAAAAAAAAAAAAGAAAGAAAACCAAGAGCGATAATCCAGGCCAATCTAGAGAATTAAGATTAGATTTCCCTGGTCCCAATCCCAGAACTAGTATTTCTGCTATTTAAGATTAAACTGGGAAGCATAATTAGAATGAATAATGTAAAGTAAATGAATAACTTGGTAGATGCTTTGGTACAACAGCTATAATCACCACTTGAGATACTCACATCCCATATCAGAGTGCCTGAGACTGAGTCTCGCCTCTGCTTCCAGTCCAGGTTCCTGCTAATGCACCTCAGAGGCAGCACATGATAGCCCAAGTACTTGAGTTCCTGCCACCATGTGGGACACCTGGATAGAGCTCCAGAATCCTGGCTTTGATCTGGCCTAGCACCGGCTGTTGCAGGCATTTGGGGAATGAACCAGTAGATGGAAGATCTCTCCTAACATACCTTCATTTTTCAAATAAACAAATATTTTCTTAAAAAATAAAAGAATTATTATAAGTACCGTATCTTATAAAAATGTGGCAACTAATGCAGAAATCCTCTCTAGATCTGTGTTGTTGTTGTTGTTGTTGATGATGATGATGATTTGTTTTACAGTCCAGAAAAGCAGAGTGATATAAGGAAACATCTTGTGTTGTAGTCCATGGTTCCATCCCTAGTTCTCATGGTTAAAGGCTATGGTACATTGTCAAGTGATACAAATTCTCCCAGCCTCAGTTTCCTCATCTACAAAATGTAAGCAATAATAATTCTCAGCGTTGATGTGAGGATGAATGAGAAAAAACACAAACCTGAAATATATCATATGTTATTTTTATCTGATGTAACTTTATTACCCTTTAGCATCCAGTGTTTCAATTTTTGTATTTTTTTAATATAAACAACAGATTTTCGTGCATTTCATAGGCACAATTCTAAGGAGATACCAAATGTCATTTTTTAAAAAGATTTCTTTATTTGAAAGTCAGAGTTTACACAGAGAGAGAAGGAGAGGCAGAGAGAGAGGGAGAAGTCTTCTATCTGCTGGTTCACTCCTCAGTTGGCCACAATGGCTGGAGTTGCACTGATCCGAAGCCAGGAGCCAGGAGTTTCTTCCGGGTCTCCTACGTGGATACAGGGGCCCAAGGACTTGGGCCATCTTCTACTGCTTTCCCAGGCCATAGCAGAGAGCTGGATGGGAAGTGGAGCAGCCAGGACTCGAACCGGCGCCCATATGGGATGATGGCACTACAGGCGGCGGTTTTGCCTGCTACACTACAGCACTGGCCCCCAGATGCACAATACTTGATATTTAGCTTCTTTACAAGAGGGATGAATCTTATAATCAATAGCAAGTTATTGTTTAATTGAGGGTACTTTTTTCTTCCTTGGTGGCACATAAAATGAAGAACCTAAAGTAATACTTGAATAATGACAGTGCAAGTATCATTTCGTTCTCAAACTAAAAGTGACTTTCAATACACAAGTGAAAAAACCCAACCTCCCTAGAAAACACAAATGTTATCCTTTATAAATTACATTTCTTCCTTCATTTGTTGGACCAAATCATTATGCCCCTCCCTTTTTACTCAGATTAAATGAATAAAAAAAAAAAACTACAAGTTTCAGAGTCTGACAACATTAACTTTGGATTTTGCTGCTATGTGACATTCTCAGTGTCCATAGAGTGCTCCATGATTGCATACAACAATATTTACCCAAAAGGACTGTTAACAAAGATCAATGAGAGGATGTATGTGAAGTCTTATTAGTGTAAAAGATATTGTAAATACTCAATAAATTCTCGCTTTTTCCTTCCTTCTGTCAATTCTACATTCTATTCATTATCTGGATTGAAGAAAAGGCTGATCTAGTTTGCCAACACCAACTACAGTCTGCAGGCTAAATTACCTGCCATCTGTTTTGAAAACACTGTTGTCTTGAAACGCAGCCACATCCATTTGTTTTCATAACCTCTATGACTACCTTTGTGCTAAAACAGCAAAGTTGAGTGATTTCCCAACAACAGTATGGTCCTTAAAGCCAGGAATGCTACCAGAGATCATCAATATAAAAGTTTGCTGATCCCTGTTTGAGATTCCCACAGCACCTAAAACTCTCCTCTCCATTTGTGTAATTATTCAGCCTCTACATCTAGAGCTGTTTTGGGTGAGAAAGGTGCATGCCTCATCCTAGGAACCAGGTCTCTTGAGATCTGACCACAGCTTCAACACCAGCAGAGTCATAAGAACTTCTGGGGGCCGGCTCTGTGGTGCAGTAAGTTAATCCTTCACCTTTGATGCCTTCACCTTTGATCCTATATGGGTGCCCATTCTAGTCTCGGCTGTTCCTCTTCCAGTTCAGCTCTCTGCTTTGGCCTGGGGAAGCCGTGGAAGATGGCCCAAGCACTTGGGCCCCTGCACCTGTATGGGAGACCCAGAAGAGGCTCCTGGCTCCTGGCTCCTGGCTCCTGGCTCCTGGCTTCAGATCAGCCCAGCTCCAGCTACTGCAGCCATTTGGGGAGTGAACCAACCAATGGAAGACCTTTCTCTCTGTCTCTCCCTTTCACTGTCTATGACTGTACCTCTCAAATAAATAAAATCTTCAAAAAAAAAAAAAAGAATTTCTGATAGGAAGACAGCCAATCCAGTGCAAAAGACAAAAACATAACTTGGTATACTCTGTGGTTTCCAGCCCTCCCCCACTCCTCTGCCTCTGGGGTTATAAAGCAGGGGCAGGGAGAGAGTGATCAAAGCAGTTTGCCATGGGCAGCATCGCTGGGAAAATGCAGGCTGTGCTCCTTTTGTTGGTCTTTCTCGTGCCTCCTGAAGCTGCAGCTGGTGAGTCTATGGGATAACTCCCTGTCCTATGGTCCTCAGCCGCTCTTCCAAATGCACCAACCTAAGTCAAAGACAGGGCCTCCTTGCAAGTGTTCCAGGGGAAATCTGTGCCTGGAAGAGTTAGGCTCTCTCCTGCAGCTAACAACAGTTTCCCTGGGACAAAAAGTCGTGGGTGGAGAAAGAACCAGAAAGCTGGCTTTGGAAGTTCTGTTTAACCTGCTTTCTTCAATATACTCACAATCCCTATTCAAGGCCCTTCTCTGGTCTTATTGTTGTTTGGAGGCAGTTAGCATGAGGATGTTAAAGCAGTCTTAGTGAGGTAACAGCTCAGAATTAGGATGGTTGTTGTGTTCTGAGAAGATACAGATTGGGCCGGCGCCGTGGCTCAATAGGCTAATCCTCCACCTTGCGGCGCCGGCACACCGGGTTCTAGTCCCGGTCGGGGCGCCGGATTCTGTCCCGGTTGCCCCTCTTCCAGGCCAGCTCTCTGCTATGGCCAGGGAGTGCAGTGGAGGATGGCCCAGGTGCTTGGGCCCTGCACCCCATGGGAGACCAGGAAAAGCACCTGGCTCCTGGCTCCTGCCAGGATCAGCGCGGTGCGCCGGCTGCAGCGGCGGCCATTGGAGGGTGAACCAACGGCAAGGGAAGACCTTTCTCTCTCTGTCTCTCTCACTGTCCACTCTGCCTGTCAAAAAAAAAAAAAAAAAAAAGATACAGATTGGCAGGATGAATTATAATAGGGAAAGTCCAAAAATAAGGATGAGGCTCAAATGGAGACCCTCAGCTTTCGTCCCCCTATTCCCTTGTCCAGTGCTATGTTGTTATAAGACTCTGTTTGAAGACCCAGCATTCTCTTCCAGAGGAGATTATCGGTGGCACTGAATCCAAGCCACACTCCCGCCCCTACATGGCCCATCTGAAAATCATCACCAAGCAGGGCACTTTTGCCTACTGTGGTGGGTTTCTCATAAGCAGAGAATTTGTGATGACAGCTGCTCATTGTAAAGGAAGGTAAGAAACCTTTGATATACCTCCTTTTCATGGAGGGAACTTGTTATAACCAGAATTACACCCAACTCTGATGTCTCTGATGCGATCTGCCCACCTCTAGCAATGTATACTGGGATGACCTGGGACATTTTGTTTGTCGTCTCCATCCCCAGAGGACAGAACTTTATGCAGGGCAGCTCAGGTCAAGGCAGGCCACTTCTGTCTTGGGCAACAAGAGTTCTCTCCGTCCCATGTGTCTGCCAGGGCCTTTCCCTTTCTGAAACAGCTGTGATGGGGAGAGGGTGTGAGGAGGCCTCTGTCCTGAGTAAGGTCCTCACATGATCCTGTCTCAGGAATGGGAGGGGGTGTGCCTGGTGTCCCTTCTCCAGATGAGTCCTTCTGAGATCTGTACCTTTTCCTGTCTCTCTCCCCTGTCAATAGGCACATTACTGTCACTCTTGGAGCTCATGATGTGGTGAAGAAAGAATCCACATGGCAGAAGATAGATGTTGTCAAACAATTCGTTCACCCCAATTACAACTCTTACACCAAACTCAACGACATCATGTTACTGAAGGTGTCACTGTCTATCTTGCACTTTTCAGTTCTCCCTTCCTTAGCCCCTCAACTGCCCGTACCTTTCTTTTTCTCTTCCAACCCATTTTTTCAGCCCTCCAAACCTGCCATCCCACTGGGGAGAAACTGCTGGCCCTGCCCACGACACCTCAATCAGACAACACCCCACACTCACCGCCCACCCTGGAACTGGTCATCAATACTCACTCTCTCTCTCTCTGCTCACAGTTACGATGGCCCGCCATGCTGACCTTCGCTGTGGGGACAGTTCCCCTGCCTTCCCGGAGAACCTTTAGCCTGCCTGGAACAATATGCCAGGCAGCTGGCTGGGGACAAACAGGAGTGACAGATCCACTGTCCAATACCCTAAGGGAGGTGAATCTGAGACTCATGGATGACGAGGTCTGCAACCACTTCCTATTTTATGACCATGGACTCCAAATGTGTGTGGGAGATCCCAGGATGGCAGGATCTGCATTCAAGGTGACCGCATATCCCCACATAGGGGGACGGCATCCTTGGGAAGGGTTGGGGTCAAAAAGTTCCCTAACACAGGGACTGGTGTCTGTGTGGGTTCCTAGGACTATGGAAACTGGAGTCTTCCTAGATTCTGTCATCCCCACACCCCCAAGTCCTGCCTCTAACTTTCCCACCTAGTCCGCCATACAGGGCTCCAGGAGAAAAAGGAAGAAGGGGAAGAGAGGCAGGATGTAGAGCTGTGGGCCCAGGTGAGAGAAGGACAGGGAGAGAAGTAAACCCCTACCTTAGAACTTCATGAAGAGCCAGGAGTTCTGACCTGCCTCTAACTTTCTTGGGGCTAACCAGGGCCAGACAGATCAAGGATGGGGTGACAGTAGGGAGGGCACAATCTCTGTTCACAATTTGCTTTCTCTGATCCACAGGGGGATTCTGGAGGCCCACTTCTGTGTGCGGGGGTAGCCCAAGGTATTGTGTCTTATACAAATCAAAATGCACAGCCTACTGTCATCTTCACCCAAATCTTCTCATATATGCCCTGGATTAAAAAAGTGCTAAAGGGGCAAGTAGCTACAGAAGCCTGGCCAGCCTGAGGGAGATTCCCCGAGCCAGGGCTCACTGTGCATATTCTCTGGATGGCATGGTGCAGCCCGAGCCCAGGGAGGTTCTCAGAGGCACACAATCCTCAGCTGATTGCTCCCCAGTGACCCTCAATAAAGATGCAGCCTCCAGCCTTTGTGTGACTCCCCTCTGTGCTCACTTCCCCTGAGCTGCTCCACTCCCCTCATCCTTATCCTACCCTCTGCCTCGAACAAAGATTGTACTGGGCTCCTTTCTTGACAGATTGATAATCTGGTCACTGGCCGGCACCGCAGCTCACTTGACTAATCCTCCACCTTGCGGTGCCGGCACACCGGGTTCTAGTCCTGGTTGGGGCGCTGGATTCTGTCCCGGTTGCTCCTCTTCCAGTCCAGCTCTCTGCTGTGGCCTGGGAGTGCAGTGGAGGATGGCCCAAGTGCTTGGGCCCTGCACCCGCATGGGAGACCAGGAGGAGGCACCTGGCTCCTGGCTTCGGATCGGCACAGCGTGCCAGCCGTAGCGGCCATTTGGGGGGTGAACCAATGGAGGGAAGACCTTTCTCTCTGTCTCTCTCTCTCACTGTCTAACTCTGCCTGTCAAAAAAAAATAATAATAATCTGGTCACTAGTTTGCCTGTGTACTGTTTGATGTTATAGATTATTAAAGAAAATATTTAGAATTTAATACTCAGCCTAGGAGCCAGCTTTGTGGCATGGTGGGTTAAGCCTCACTACAATGCCAGCATTCCATATGAATGCCAGTTTGAGTCCCAGCTGCTCCACTTCTGATCCAGCTCCCTGCTGACGCACCTGGAAAAGCAGCTGAATATGGCCCAAGAACTTGAGGCCCTGAAACCCACATGGGAGATCCAGATGGCGTTTCAGGTTTCTGGCCCAGCCCTGGCCACTGCAGCCATTTAGGGAATGAACCAGTGAATGAAAGATTGTGCTCTCTCTCCCCACCACCCTCCTAACTCTGCCTTACAAATAAACAAAATAATTAAAAAAAAAAAAAAAAAAAAAAAAAAAAAAAAAAAAAAAAAAAAAACAGAGTAGGGGCTGGCACTGTGGCATAGCAGGTAAAGCTACCACCTGTTGCTGCTAAGGCCCTGTCACCTCTTCACCCCAGACTCTAAGGACAATGTGCACATGGGGCAGCCCCTCTTCCCAAGACGTTGGGCAACTGGGCATGTGGAGAGGGTCATCAGCCCCCCTGACTTGCCAGCATCGCATATGGGCACTGGTTCAAGACCCGGCTGCTGCACTTCTGATCCAGCTCTCTGCTATGGCCTGGGAAAGCAGTAGAAGATGGCCCAAAGTACTTGGGAACCTGCACCCGGCTAGGGGACCTGGAAGAAGCTCCTGGCTCCTGGCTTCAGATCAGCCCAGCTCCAGCCACTGTGGCCATTTGGGAAGTGAACCAGTGGATGGAAGATCTCTTTCTCTCTGCCTCCGCCTCTCTGTAACTCTGCCTTTCAAATAAATAAATAAATCTTTTAAAAAATCCAGAGTAATATTGGCATGGATTTACTTTGCCCTTCCTCCTTCTGCTTCTTTTCCCAGTCTCCCAAACCCGAACCTCAGTCCCTGTGATCTGTCTGTGCACCATAGCAAACTTCCACAACTGTTTTCACAAGGGTCCCAGGAGAGAGATCCCCACCTCAGTGTAAGCCTAGCCCAGAACCACATCAGAGCCACCCAAATCCAACTGTCATCTTCCTCAGAGATGCCGCACTGTCTCCCAGTCCTCCCAGTCCAGGAATTCCTGACTCAAGGCAAGCTCTGCAAAATTTGCTTCTCTGCACGTACAGCAGCACCCTGAGTCCCCACAGCCACCAGCACCTGAGCAGGCTCGGCACCCTCACAGCTCTACGTCCTGGTACCAGGGAAGTGGGGCACAAACTCCGGGTGATTTTCTGGAGACTGCAGCTAAGGCAACCCACATAGGTGCCACGGGGGTCACTAGGAGGCCCAAAAACACAGACACGGCCCTGTGTCCACTCTACTGTGAGAAACTGCTGCTCCTCCTGGCCCCAGGACAGGACCCGGCACCTCCACCTTCCCCACTGCCTGTCAAGCCCACAGATCGGGGCTCCTGGCTTTGACACGGAACAAAACAGATATAAACTAAAGTACGTACAATATACAAGACCTGTTAAAAAAAAAGTATTAGAACAAAAGCACATGCCCAGAAAAACAAAGCCTACAACTAACTCAAAAATAGAAAAACTTACATCAGGCAGGATTTAAAAGCATTTTTTTCTTAACTCCAGTTTTAAATTTGTGTAATGAAATAAAGTTTGTAAAATTTGAAACAATGAGCACAGACACTGAGCGTGTTTCCTTAGGGGACCTGAACACACACAGAGTTGCTGCCCTGTCACCTCTTCACCCCAGACTCTAAGGACAATGTGCACACGGGGCAGCCCCTCTTCCCAAGACGCTGGGCAACTGGGCATGTGGAGAGGGTCATCAGCCCCCCTGACTTGCCTGGCCCACAGAAAGTAGCAGATGGTGGAGATACCTGGGAGCTGGGCTGAGCCTACAGGCTGAGTAGGAATCCAAGGGCTTCCAGTGTGGCTACCACTGCAGACCAAACAGCCTCACATGGGTCCCTGGTCAAGAAAGAGCAGCTGGTGGTGGCCAGGCCACCCCAACAAAGATAAGAACTTCAGGGTAGATGTGAGACTTGGCAGTTAAGGTGTCACTTTGGACACCCCCATCCCAAATGGGAGTGCCTCGGTTTGAGTTCTGACCCTACTCTTGATTCTGGCTTCACGGTAATGTACATCCTGGGAGACACGGAGATGGCTCAAGTAGTTGGGTCCCTGCCACCCATGGGGAAGACCTGAGTTGAGTTCCTGGCTCTGTTTCAGCCTGGGTGGGGTATCTGGGGAGTGAATCAGCAAATGAGATCTCTCTCACGCGCTCTATCTCTCAGATAATTTTTTTCAAATGAGAGCATCATCAGCACTACAGTGTTAGCTCTGAGATGTGGTGGCAGACAGCAAGAATGATAAGAGCATCACCGCATCACGAGCTCAGCGGAAGAAATGGTGCAGATAAGAGAAATCTGTCCAGCTGCACGAAGGCTCTCGATGCACTGAGCCCTGGGGCCACCCTCCCTGCCACCAAGATGCCCACAAGGAAGATGCCAAGAGGACTCGGTGGAAGGGGCAGTAAAAGAACCCATGTAGAGATCGGAGAGGTTGTCCGCTAAACCTGTTCTCACAAAACTGCAAATAAGGCCAATAAAGGCAGCAGGAAAGGATAAATTTTCAGGGGAAAAAATGTAAACCAAAGGGAAAAGAGGCCAAAGTAGTGACCAAGAAACTAAAGAAGTTTTAGCTGCAGAAAATGGAGAAACTAAGAACAAGAGCCCAGCTTCTGGCAAAGCAGAAGGGAAGGCAAGTCTGACCCACACCACACTCCACATCTCATCAACACTCCCTGTATCCCTTCTTGTACAACCCACAGGAATAGTTTTACCAAGTACTTTGCAAATGAAAGTTTTTTAGTGGCTCCAGCAACATTTTTAAGAGGGAAAGATTCCCACCTCATGCCATTTTTTTAATGTATAAATGATTTTTTTAAGATTTATTTGAAAGGCAGAGTTACAGAGAGGCAGAGGCAGAGGCAGAGAGAGAGAGAGAGATCCTCCATGCACTGGTTCACTCTCCAGATGGCCGCAACGGCCGAAGCTGCACCAATCCAAAGCCAGGAGCCAGGAGCCTTTTCCGGGTCTCCCACACGGGTGCAGTGGCCCAAAGCCTTCAGCCATCTTATACTGTTTTCCCAGGCCACAGCAGAGAGCTGAATCAGAAGTGGAACAGTCAGGACTCAAACTGGTGCCCATATGGGATGCTGGCACTGCAGGCAGCGACTTTACCCACTAGGCCACAGCGCTGGCCTCTAGTCTGTATTTTTTAACTGGAGAGTTGAGGCCATTTATATTCAAAATGACTATTGATAAAAAAGGACTTTGCCCTGCCATTTTTCCATAAAAATATTCCTATTTTTTACTTTGGATTTCCTTTGTACTTTTACTCTTCCTTTACCTTATTTCATAGTGATGACCACGTTTCTGTTTCTGTGTGCAGCACATCCTTAGGCATCTTTTTTTTTTTAAGATTTATTTATTTATTTATTTATTTGAAAGTCAGAGCTATACAGAGAGAGAAGGAGCAGGAGAGAGAGAGAGAGAGATCTTCCATCCGCTGATTCACTCCCCAGTTGGCTGTAAAGGCCAGAGCTGGGCCAATCCAGAGCCAGGAGCTTCTTCCAGGTCTCCCATGTGACTTGGGCCATCTTCTTCTGCTTTCCCGGTCCATAGTAGAGAGCTGGATGGGAAGAAGAGCAGCTGGGACTCGAACCAGCACCTTTATGGGATGCCAGCACTGCAGGCGGCAGCTTTACCCACTATGCCACAGCGCCAGCTCCCCAAAACATCTTTTTGCAAAGCTGGACAGTGGTGGCAAATTCTTTCAATTTTTGTTTGCTGTGGAAGGTCTTTATTTCACCTTCATTCATAAATGAGAGCTTTGCAGGGTATAGTATTCTGGGTTGACGGTTCTTTTCTCTTAAGGCATGGAGTATATCTCACCATTCTCTCCTAGCCTATAGGGTTTCTGATGAGAAGTCCACTGTGAGTCTAACTGGAGATCCTCTGAGAGTAATCTGGTGTTCCTCTGTGCACATTTCAGAATCCTTTCTTATATTTTACTGTGGAAACTTTGATTACAATGTGTCGTGGCAAAGATCTTTCTGGTCATGTCTATTAGGAGTCCTATGTGCTTCTTGTATTTGGATATCCCTTTCTTTCTCCAAATTAGGGAAATTCTCTGTTTTAGTTCACTAAAAAGGCCTTCTAATCCTTTCTCTCTTTCCACGCCTTCAGGAACTCCTAGTACCCATATGGTGGGTCATCTGATAGTATCCTGCAGATTCCCAACAGTGTTTCTCAGTTTTCTCATTTCTTCTTGTTTTTTGTCTGATTGTATAATTTCCTGTGATCGCTCTTCTAAGTTGGATATTCTTTCCTCTGCTTCACCGATTCTGTTGTTGGGGCTTTCCAGTGCATTCTTTATTTGCTCTATTGAATTCTTCATTTCCAAGATTTCATTTTGCTTTCTCTTTAAGATCTCATTTTTGTGGGAGAAATTTTGTTTCATGTCATGCATGGATTTCAATAGTTCATGCATTTGCTTTTGATTACTTTTTTTTTTTTGACAGGCAGAGTTAGACAGTGAGAGAGAGAGACAGAGAGAAAGAGAGAAAGGTCTTCCTTCCGTTGGTTCACCCCTCAACTGGCCACTACGGCCAGCTCACTGCGCCAATCCGAAGCCAGGAGCCAGGTGCTTCCTCCTGGTCTCCCATGTGGGTGCAGGGCCCAAACACTTGGGCCATCCTCAACTGCACTCCCGGGCCACAGCAGAGAGCTGGACTGGAAGAGGGGCAACCAGGACAGAACCCAGTGCCCTGACCGGGACTAGAACCCGGGGTGCAGGTGCCGCAGGCGGAGGATTAGCCTAGTGAGCCGTGGCGCTGGCCTCTGATTACTTCTAAGTAATCCTATGATCAATTTTTTGAATTCCATTTCTGGCATTTCTTCAATCTTATCATCTTCACAATCTAGTACTGAAGTGTTGTATTTTTGGGGGGGCATCATGTTATCTTCCCTATTCTTGTTTCTTGAATTGGTATGTTTGTTATTCAGCATTTGTGGAGATATTTGTTGGTTTCTTCTTTAGTTTTGTTTTTTTTTGTTTTGTTTTGTTTTGTTTTGTTTTGTTTTGTTTTTGCTGTGGTGGCTTTTATCTTTGGACTATGTATGGATCAGTGAAGTGTCAACTTTCAGGTAATACCTAGAGCCATGTGGTGGATGTGGCCAGGGAGCTCCATTCAGTGCTCTAGGGTGAAGGGAGTGCTAAGGTGATACCCAGCTTAGATGTGGTAAGTCTCTTTTTTTTTAATCAGAGGGGAGATTTTTCTGCTCTGTTGGTGCAGACTCGGCTCATTTCCTCTCCTCAAGGAGACTACTGCCTGGGCGC